TATAGATAGATAGATCGATATAGATAGATAGATCGATATAGATAGATCTATCTAGATCTAGATAGATCTAGATAGATCTATATAGATCTATATAGATCTAGATAGATCTATATAGATCTATATAGATAGATCTAGATAGATAGATCTAGATAGATCTATATAGATAGATCTATATAGATAGATCTATATAGATAGATCTAGATAGATAGATAGATCTAGATAGATAGATCTAGATAGATAGATCTAGATAGATAGATCTAGATCTATATAGATAGATCTAGATCTATATAGATAGATCTAGATCTATATAGATAGATCTAGATCTATATAGATAGATCGATATATAGATAGATATAGATAGATATAGATAGATATAGATATATAGATAGATCTATATATCTATATAGATAGATATAGAGATATAGATATATAGACAGACAGACAGAGAGAGATAGTAACACAAATATCTTTAAATGACGACTAGAGCGAAAGATATTTTTAAAAAAAGTGACATTTTGAAGGGATTAGGATACGATTAATAAATACAAAACATTTGGGTACAATTGAACTTTTCATTCCCTCATCAGCAACATGAGGTTTCTGTCGCTGTCCAATGAAAACTACAAATCTCCAGTTTTAGTTAGCTTTTTCAAATAAATGAAAGGATTACCTGTGGGACCTTTTAAACTCATTCAACAGTTGGAGTATCTGAAAAATGAATCGCCTCAAACCTGAAAACGGAGCGTTTATCTCAGACCATGAAAGCAGTAACATGTTCGGAGTCTGAACCTGAGTGGGGTTTTCCTTGTACTTCTGTGGCAGTGATGAATAGCAACATGTTCATGGTTTACAAGAAGCAGGCATACACAACCAATATGGAAGATGTGTTTATCCAAAGAAAAAAAAGAAAAGGGCATGTAACGGTCAGATTCAACACGATGTGCATATATGATGAGACAGACCAGGGCTTAAAGTCTCCCGCTAGCAGAGAAAACTGAACCCAGCTCAATCTGGAGTTGCCTTATTGTTAAAGGTTTAACACCAGGTTATAATAATGCATAACAGCAGCATTCGTTCCACAAACCATTCAAAGTGTGATGAGCTGTGTGGCACAAAGCAAGTCATCCTCAGCCTGAGGCCTGAAATGTCAGATTCCTATGATGATGTTTTTTCTCCCCACGATGAAGTAGAACACCCATATTAAATACACTTAAGAGAAAACAATAAAAGATCAGATGTAAAATACATTTCCAATCAATTCTGAGATTCACAGCAAACCAATTCCCTGTGTGTTTAACATCGAGCCGAGATCAGTTCTACCACCAGAGACCTGCGAGGGATCTGTTCCATCATGTCAGAGCTGCACTACAGCTGTCCTCCAGCAGGGGGAGCCGTTACACTGTGCTGCATATGACGACGCACAACAAAAACAAACGTGAGAAAGCAGAAGAAAAGTCTCATGAGCTGAACTTTATTAATGCATATCCAGTTAAGAATGACATCCATGTGGTACATTCTCTTAACAACAAACTGGGGTAAATATACTACTGCATTTGTCTTGTAGGAAAGAGGTCAGGTTTGATGCTATAAGTGTTAATCATGTGACAGACATCAAATGCAGGAACTGGGTTTGATTCTCCATTTAAATGAGGAAACAGCTCCCTGATTTGTGTTAACAGGGATATTATGGGAAAAAAAAGAAGAAATCTCTTAAAGTGCTAAATTGTGAAACTTCCTTTTGCGAGAGAATGCGGTCGTATAATCGTAATAATAAATGAGTCCAGCGGTTTTAGGGCAACATCTCTGAACTGAGCTTGAGCCTTGGTAAATATATCGGCACTCTAAACGGATGGCTGGAATAAAAATAGCTTCAGCTCCGTCTCAACAACGTTTGTCTGATTGTTAATTCGACACTGAACGGATTCCGTGCATCATGTTGGACCCGAACACTTTTATCTGGAATCCTGTGAGTCCACATCAGATCACTGGCTCCTGTGTTCAGCACCAACAGTGCTTAGTGATTTTATGACCCGAGCTCTAAACTCACTTGTTATGGAAACAGGAAAAGGAATCTAGCATTTCAAATCAGTACGTTCAAATCAGTACCTCATGCATTCTCTGATAAACATGTTGGATCATTAGGAAGGAAAATGATGGCACTTTGCTTTAGAAGGGTTAGTCTGATAAAATCCTATAGATGGCTTGTTTACACACAGCCTCTTCTCCTCAAAACGATGTTCCAATACAACGAAACCGTGCTGTCAGTTACGTTTTGGGGGAAACATAACTGGTGGTGGATTACTTTGGCTTTTGTCATCAAATAGTTTTCTAATAACGCAGAAGTCTGACTAAACCTTGTGTTTTGTTTCAATCTTCAGAATGGTGTTAAACTGTGGTTTGATGTTTAATTTGAGAAAATATGTTTCCCTCGAAAAGAAATTGAGAATTTAGTTCCATAGCAACGCCATTTTGTAGGAGACAGGGTTGTTGAAACAGAATCGCCTGACGAGCTGTTTAGAACAGAGGAAGCTCTCACAAAAAAAATTAATCGGCAGGCCATTGGATGAACCACCTGTCAATCAAACTTGTCACCGAAGCCAATCAGGAGAAGAGCGACAATGGCTTTTCTAGCATCAACAGTAAAACGAAAAAAAACCTGCTATACCACTTGGTGATTGTGGTGTCCGAGTTCTTTCCACTGACGGGTTGAGATGATCCTTCAAGACGCATCGTCAGCATCTAAGCCTGTAAACACCTTAATGTAACAACAGTGACCACAGCAGCAGTGCGAGAGAGTAGGATGCATGCTTCACAGCCCAACGCAGAAAAAAGGATGCGAGGGTAGATTTACCTCCGACAGTCAGTAACGCAATGTTGTGTCTCCAGGAAGTAATCGACCTCACACAACGAACAGAACGTTTGCTGGTCCGCTGGCTTCTCTTTGTTAACTCGTTGAAGGCTGGTCAGGAACACTTTAAAGTTAAAACTAAAGAATGATATTTCTTCCCCGGGTGGTTGATTTGCAGTGAGCCGATGCTTGAACGTCTTCAACCTCTGAAACGTAAACTAATCTCAAGCAGCAGGTTGAGCTCCGTAACAGACGGTGAGTCCAACAGTCCAGACCGAGATGCTCTCGGAGGGTGAGAGGAGAAAAGGCCTGTCCTCTCCAAACTGGAAGCTTAATGGTACATTTGTAGACCTCGGCTTGCGGAGCACTTCATGCTGACCGTGGTCCAACCGATGAAGACAACAAGGGTATCCCAAAGTGGATGACCTTGGAGTGTGTGTGGGGGGGTTTGGGGATGAGCTAGAGTTCAAAGTTTGTTCCTCTCTCCGTCTCGTCTCCCTCCCTTCCCCCACGTCTCTCTCATCCTCGCTTCAACTACAGCGTCTCTTTCAGAGGCACAGGTGTCGGTGGAGAGAGGCATCCATTGCAACGTGAGGAGAAGTGTGAGAGAGCGTGTGTGAGTGTGTGTGTGAGAGTGTGTGTGTGTGTGAGGGGTTGTGTTACCATATGTGAGATTCACAGTGAGTCATTTTGATGACGCCCACCCCCCCACCTAGCCGGCGGTAGTTCATTCCTCCATACAACCTGGTGAGAGGAGAGGGACATGATGAGGAAAGAGAAACTACATAATATACACTAAGTGTGCGTTCATGGATGTGAACACAGCAGCATAGCAGAGCAAGACGGATTAAAGAAAGTCAATATATTAACTGCTGGTTACCTTCTTTGGCCTTTTTGGCCGTGTACTCTATTGTTTCTTAAAGGATGTCCTTGTGCAGGTCTAATCACCTCTTCTCGAGTGCGTGTAAAATCACACGATCTGATCAAGTGAAGAGTTTTGTTGTGTGCTGTGACTAAGCGTTTACTTCCAACTTAACCCCAGCAGGAAAGGCCTTTACACTTGCCAACGAAAAGGCTAAATACTTGCCTGCAAATATTTCTCATAAAACCTACTCACACTGGCAGCGATGTGAATTTGTGACAGTTGCAAGACTTTTTCAATAAACGGTTTGAATCGACTCACACAGGAAAAAGGACCAACTAGCAGGATCCTATAGAGCCAGAGGAGAGTCTGTCAGTCTGTCTGAGCTAAGCTGCTGCAAGATATTCTATTAAAATGCTCTGATTGAATTTGAGTTCCATCTGGTGAATGCATTTGTCCAGGGCTTTTATTGTGAAAGTTAAGAACAGAGGGAGAGTGCTGCCTTTCTCAAAGTTTGCGGTTTCGTTTGGACAACAGAGCATCTGTGTTGTTGTACAATAAGGTCGATGCCTTGCCTACAACCATGTGGCAAATAACTAGTGTTAGTTAGCTCAATGCTAACACGTAATTAGACTTACCATTGACGTGCTAATGGGAATTAGCATTGTGATAATATTACCATCACAAACTATTTTAGTCATACGTTTCCATTGCTCTGAGGACATGAACTAGTCGCTGCTTTACTTCACATTGCTAGCTTAACCTGCTGCTTCAGTACTCCACACTGACCGACTACGGCAACCTCACAGGGTCAAACCTCACCACCAGGAGAGGACAGCACAATGGCGGTAGCTCATTAAAGAAGATGTTAAGTTATATTACTTTATTAAAGTCATTCTGCTGTTTTCTGCTACTAGAGAAACTGCTGAAGAAAAGGCGTTTTACAGCCTCGATACATTTTATTTGAATACAAATAAAAAAAAATTGTATTCTTTCAATGTTTCCCCGAGGTAACGAATATCGATATTATTCAAGGTTTTGTTTTGTAGCCCCTCTCACCTCCATGTGTTGGCGTCAGGGTCGTAGACTTCTATCGTTTTGAGATACGTCGTCCCATCGAAGCCTCCCACTGCCATCAGCTGACCATTCACCACAGCCAAGCCCACCTACACACAGTTACACGTCAGCCTCGTACACACATTAAATCACCGTCAGTATCTTTAACATCAACTATAGTAACTTAACTGACACAGATTAAATGCAGTTATTGACGTATGACTGTGAAGCAGTAACTAAAACAATGTTTCACCCCGCTCCGTCTGGACGTCATGGCCACCACGGGAGACCACTGGTTGGTCCTGGGGTTGTATCGCTCGGCGCTGCTCAGCTCCGTGGTGTCGTCTCTCCCTCCAACGGAGTAAATCATGTCCTGGTAGACGGCGCAGCCCAGGTGCTTCCTCCTGGTTCCCATGGGGGACACCGTGTGCCAGCGGTTCTCTTGAGGGTTGTAGCGTTCCACTGAAGAGAAAGGGATAGAAAAATACTATCTCGTCAAAGCTCTGGGTTACTTTAAGATTGTACTCATCACGTGACTCAGTACCACACCTGTATTTAATGGTGACGTCCCATCAGACCCTCCGACAGCGTACAGGAAGCCCCCCAGCACAGCGACAGCTACACCCAGCCGCCTGGTGCTCATGGAGGCCACGCGAGTCCATTTGTTCTCCTTGGGATCATACCTACAGCGTAAGAAGGATGCCATGTTCAGAACTTCTCTCTGTGAATATTAGCAAGTCAATGTGGGCGTGGCTAAGAGCAGAGGTCACTCTGACAGAATACTTTCTGTCTTTGACTGAATTTTTTAAAACAATGACGGGACAATCTGCAGGCTGTCTGTCATTTTGAGGGACTGGAGGCCTCGGAGTGCGTCGATGTAGCTGCACCACTGGAGCAGAAGGAGCGCATGCTGCAGAATCTTATCCCCGATGAAGCTGCAGGATCCAACGTTCAGTGTCAAATCTAAAATGGGCTCCGAGGCAGCGACGCCAAAGAGAATGACAAAGTCTTCTGCAGCGTTTGATTACACACAAGGGGGCACCCGCTTTATGTCCATGTGGACCAGAAGGAAGTTTGAGTTCAGACACACATTGACACAATGGCCGCAGTGTTTTTAGTGGCAAATCATGCGTTTATTGAAAACTTTAAAAGCGGCATTGGCCTTACTGGCTCTGTCTGACCCACAGAACGGACAGCTAGCGAGGGAGACTGGAATCAGAGACTTCACCTTTAAATCAACCCATCTTATTATCATTAAAACATTTAAATGAAAAGGATAAAATACATTGTGATGGCACATTTACGACCTTTTCTGACAAAATTAAGTCTAATGCAACCACTAGCTAAGAGAGGGCTGGTCCGTGGAGAGGAAAATCTATGAAAAGAGAAGCCGGTATGGACATAATATCAAATCAGCCTGTGGCATAAAAAACATTAAGACATGAACAGTGAAGCCCAAAGTAAAGAGGACTAGTCTGGCTTATGTTTACTGAGGTAATAAATCAGGAGAGAAGTAGAGTCATTTTCTCATAGACTTCTATACAACCAGAGGAGTCGCCCCCTGATGGACAGTAGAGAGAATGCAGGTTTAAGACATGAAGCATCGGCTTCATTCGGTAGAACTGCCTGGGTGAGCCATAAGATGCTGAACTAGCACCTAATATACGGGTAAAAACATGGACGATTTATCATAGACTCAAGACTTTTGACGGATACCTTTCTACGATGTTGAGACAGGAAACCCCGTCCTGTCCCCCTACAGCATACAGATAACCACCGAGGACAGCCACTCCTACGCTGGTACGACACGTGCTGGTGGGGGCTACGTCACTGCTCCACTGATTGGTCTTTGGGTCATATCTGGACAGGAGAGGTGGAATAAAGACAATATGTAATGACATATTCATAATTAGAATTCTAGACCTAAATCTGAGAGATCGTGCCGCTCACCGCTCCACGGAGTTGAGGTATGACGAGCCGTCGTGACCCCCCACAGCGTACAGCAAGTCGTCCAGAACGCTCACGCCGACTCCGCATCGACGCTTACTCATCGACGCCACCATCCGCCACTCGTTGGTCTGGGGGTCGTAGCGCTCCACACTAGAAATGGCGTCGCCGCTGCACCAACCGCCGACTACGTGACGAGGAGACATGGGAGGAGAGAGTGCGCAACGTTAAATTATCACACGATGAAGAGGAGTCATTCCTTCAGTTCGTCTACTTATTTGATTAAAGGGAAACGCAGCGTACCATCAGAAAACAATGGGTTTTAAAGGGCGACTCGTATTCTAGCGAGGTGTCTCAGTGTGATCCGGGCCTATTAGGTACTGACCTGCAAAGAGGACCTCCCCACAGCGGATGGGTTTCCTCGGCCGGGTTCTGGGGCCCTGCATCAGTGGCCTCTCCTGCGGCAGCAGCAGGTAATTCTTAGCCTCATCGACCAGGTCTCTGGAATAAAAATAGATATATATAATTATAAATCGAGGTTAAATATCGTCACTGTATCATTCTCATCGTACGAAATGGAGTTTCTCCTCAGTATTTTTCATAATGTTCAGTAATGTAAAAAGAGAATCCACCAAATTCCTGGATCCAGATCAGCAGCATCTTCCCCACTCAAAACATCGAAATGTTCCACAAACAAACAGCCCTCACCTGCACTCCTCGTCGCTCTTGATGAGAGGGTCTGACCCAACGGTGCCCACCAGGAACTTGGGGCTGAGCAGCGGCAGACGGACATGCTGCAGGACCTACAGAACACAGGAAAATCCACGTCAGTCTCAGAGGGTTCCTCGGCCACAACAGAAGCCTGAAGTAACGCTGAGGGTTTAGAACTGGAATGTACAACCGGAACCATCCCGGCAACAAAGCCGCGAACTGCCGTGGTGAGATACTTCCTCAGCCACAAACCTGCGGTAGCTGTGGTCTGCGCTCCTGGATGCTGTACTTCACCCAGGCCATCACGGCGTTGAAAACCTGCTCCTCGCTCCGCACGTTGAGCTCGTCGCTGGAAATGATGTCGATCAGTTGGTTGGCGGGCAGCAGCATGAACTCCTCGCTTTCCATCACCTAAGACAAATGGGGACAGAATGAGTCAGCGGCTCTGCCACAAAGACGGGAAGCTAAATCCATCTTACACTTTGACTGCATACATTTATTTTGTAAAGCAATGTGCTGTGAAGCTACACGTTCCGAATGCGATGTAGCGACGCCTCCCCTCTTCTTCTCTGCCGTGTCAGCACAAAAGCTCTCACGTCACATGATGTTTTCTTATTCATGAGTCAATAGACTGGAATTCTTCACACGTTTACAACTTCAAGTCAAAATGATGCAGTGAAACAGAGAGCTGCATTAGTGACTGTGTGCTCACATCCTCAGGCTTGGAATGAGGACGGGAAAACAGAGAGAAACACTAAACAAACCAACTACTAACATCTACTAGAACACACGACTTTGAGAATTCTAGGAGACGGGGATTCTCATCCATGGGCTTACCTCCTGAAAATTGTGCTGGGTGAACTTGTCTGCGATGCGGAGCAGCTCGCGGCAGGAGTGCGTGTCTGCGAAGGCCCTGATGCCCAGACAGTTGGAGGGATCCAGCTGCCTCTTGAGGAACTCGCAGCAGGCCTCCTGGATCTCAGCCAGCTGGAGGAGGCAGGCGGCGGGGAGCAGCGTCTGGACGTTTCCCTCCTCTACCGTCACCTGGAAGGTTCAGGACATCAGAGACTCTTCACATGCTCTTTTAATCAGACGCTCGAGCGAGACCTGTCTGCAGAGTGTCCCCCATCTTGGCTACAGAACCCTGCAGCTCCTTCTCAGATTACTAGCTCTGGTGGCCATCTGCAATCCATATTTTGGCTAATATGGCTACACGTTAGGGGTGGAGACAGATTCCTTGGAATCGCACACCTCAGTGACTATCGATTCCTCTTATCGAGGCTGATCGACAGCTGCACATGCACGATGATGTAACACCATGTTACATGTTTTAGTTGATTTCGAATGCTCAAAAAGCATGGCACTAAAAAACCTGAGGGGACGCTACATTTAGAGTATTTGGAGATTGCATTGATTTACATTATGATGCCTTCATGGTCTACTCGGTAAAAATGAGTATTGGACGAAGGGAAATTATAACCTTTTGATGTGCTCAAAAATAATCTTGTAAAATGTCATTTTTGGCGAGAATATTTTAAGGAGATGTTTTCAAAGCAAAATAAAACGGATATTAAAATCAGATCGATAAGAGGAAGCAATATCGCATTTTGTGTTACTATAAACACACCACTGACCCCCGAGTGCCAAATAGAAACTCTGTCGTTACCTGCGACGTGTACGCAAAGTCAATGAGCAGCTCCATGGCTCTCTCATCGATGTCGCGGATGACCACTTCCGTCTGCCTGCTCTCCGCCAGCTCCCCAGTGAACATCGCCCTGAAGAGAACATCAAGACGTATCATTGTCACAGCCAGCACTCCGACGTGGATTCGTGTCCAGATATGTTTTCCTTCAGCAGCTGCGAGTGGCCTCCTTGTACCTGAAGTAAGGGCTGCAGGCCGACAGGATGACGCGGTGAGCGTAAATCTTCTTGGCGCCCACCACCAGCACCACGTCACAGAGCTCCCGGTGTTTTCTCAGCAGGTTGATCACCTCCAGGGTCTGCCGCGGGTGTTTGTCTGACACGTAGGGCATGCGTGCGGGCTGGGGAACCCCCTCGGGGAGCTTGTTGGGGTCCCCCAGAGTACAGCGGCTGGTGATGTCCATTCCAGTGGCGTCTTGGCGTGCGCTGGTGGCCCTAAACAAGGACCGGAGGGGCAAAGATTAGATGTAAATACACCGTTGGTTCTTATTCAACATCTTAACAACTCATCTTGTTCAGCTCTATTGCTACATTTTTTTTTTTTTTTTTATAAATTGTATTTAATATTTGTTAAACATAAAGATAAATAAATAAACTATCAATTACTTTACTTTTCTTAATGTGCTGATTAATAATATCTCTGCTCTTTTGGAGCCCGTTTTTTTATATAATTTTTAAAAAGTAAATTAAGTTTATAATGATTTTTATTATCATCCTCACCATTACTTTTATTATTATTATTATTATTATTATTATTATTATTATTATTATTATT